TATGTTTTCCACTTTTTTGTTTACAAGTCGTAAAGGTTATTATTTTATCACAAATCTCTATGAATGCTGTTCTTTGAAAAATATAGTTCTTTTCTTCTTTTGAGTTTTTATGAACAATTAATTTTATTCTCCTTTCATTCTGCAGAATCGTAATAATGATCATTATTAGCTGGTAGACGATGCTTTGTAAGCCTTTACTGCTGAAACTATTATTCAAAGTCTTTTAATGTGTTGAAAAATGAAAAAAAGTACAATTGCAAGCCATTTGATGCGTCTGCTTCTTTCCTTACTGAATTTGCTAGAATTTCATTTCAAATTTGGAATTCGATTTTCATCTACGTGTTTCTGGCTACAGAGAAAATACATTATGTTTAATGAAACTAATAAAATTTTGTATTTTAGTATTGAAGTTTTTAAGTACTAGGTAAAATAAGATTTTGATCTAAAAAAAATTTCCCAAAAGCAATTAAAACAATTGCGTGCTCAGAAATACAATATTTTACTATTTTCAGCTGATACATTCGTTACATTTTATGTGTTCATATTGTTTAAGCAGTCTAAGGCTATTTTGAGTGCTATATATTAGTTTCTAGACTATTGACCCTAAAAAATTTCCATTATAATAAGTTCCAGGATCCATCATAACAATAAAATTCTTTAGTCCGAGATTTTTAAATTGGTTAAATATCTCTATTGAAAAACACATTTTTGCAAAAAAAGAAGTAAACATTTTTCGGAGGCAGAAGTTCAAACTGATGAACGACTATAATAACCGTTATCAGCGTAACCGTATTCACGATTATCATAATTATAATTATTATGATGATTATAACGAAACAATAACTATAATCATTATATTAATTGATAATCATAATAACGTTAAAAAATCGGACTTTGCTATAATCATGAAAAATTCAGTGATGTGTTAAACGGAATAATAATAATGATGGTATGATTTATTATAATAATAATTATAATAAAGCATACTCGTCATTATTATCATACTCACTATTGACGATAGCAGCAGTGACTATCATCATAATTATAATATGATCATTATCATTATTAATAATGATAATGAATCCTCATCACTATTATTCTGTTTAACATATTGCTCAATTTCTCCATGATTATAGCAAAGTTAAAAGTTCTTGACGTTTCATTTCATTTCATTCCATTTTTTGAGCAATGTTTTAATTCAACAGAAACTCATTTATTTTCAAGTAAATCTAAGCTTTGTTGTTTTTCGAATTAAGTGATGATTTCGACGCCTTAAAGTCACTGATGCATTAAGTTTCAAATGAAATGGAGAAAATGCTGAGTAATCATAGGAAAACATTTATATAAAAAAAATAAAGAAAAAAACATAATTTGAAAATCTTGGCAAGCGTCCAATCCATTGCTTGAAATGCTATATCTAGTTGCAATGACCGATTGGTTCGAAGTGTGGAACATGTTTGGAATATACGTAATAAGTCCTTTTTAATACTCTTTCTAAAATGAATATCATTTTTTAGTGCGTCAGACAAACGCACTTCATAACCCATAATCTATTGTAGTTGATGAGAAAGAAGACAGTTAAATGCCAGATGCAAGGCAGATTACTCTGTGGTTACCTTTTGCTTTTAATCAAAAGTTTGTTTTTCTTTTGGTAGTACGTGTAATATTGCAAATAAATTCATAAAATGATTGAAGTAGATTCATAAAATGATTCAGGTTCAAAATACTAGCCAATTTATTGATCGGATATCTCAAATGCAAATGCGAGTTTAAAGTTTGAATCAGAAGTGCAGAAATCGCTCATTAAGTATTCTTTCTTGTTTTCTAGCTGAACCCTTGAAGTAAAATCATTATCTCGTTACTTTCATGTCAATATCTTTGATGATATTTGTCCCATATTTCACTCGAGGCTATATCATTTTATTGCAAATAAAGGTCAGGGTAACTCTCGAGGAAAGCCAACTATGCAGAGATTTTTGACAGATTGATCGTTCATGGCTGGTATATGAAGAAAATACAGCTTAATTAGACAAATTTCAGTAGATGCTAACATCATTTCTTAATAATGCGTGAATGAAATGACAAATTAGTGAACGTAAATTTTCTGGTTATGTTTAAAGAGAAACGAAAATGAAAATAAAAATCAGGAAGCAGGCAGTGCAGTATTTGTTAATTCTTCATTCAAGTAACGCCTGCAAGAAGTGGTGAAATTTGAGTGATAACAAAATAAAACATGAACAAACTATTCAGTGTGTATGGAAACGAGATAAAATCTCTGAATTTTCTTATCAACTTGGCATTTATCAGGACAAAAATTTAATTTCTAAGTATCATGAAATTCGCTCACTAATATTGTCCGTAGTTTTATAATAAAAAGAGACTAATGCCGAAAGAGCAGTTATTAAAATTGATAATAATAAAGAAAGATCGTTTAATACGCATAAGACAAATTCATTTATTCAATTAATTATGTAAAATATTATACTAGTAACATTATGAGTAGAAAAATTTTTCATTGTTTTATATTTGCCTTTACTGTCGTGATTATTCTAAAGCAATTTATACTGCTTAAAGACTGACTCACAAAAATAGTCTTTTGAAATTATTAAAAAAATCACGATACATACTAAACAAGCATAAAATGTGTTAGAGATGACTGCTTAAGTTACGTTTTCTTACACGTAATAGTTATTAGGGAATTATTTGTTTCAATAAAGTTCATTTTTCTCCAATGTTCCGTAATCTCTAGCATATTTTATGAGCGAAAAAAAAAAGCTGTGAAGAAGTCGTGTCGAAAAAAGTTGAACCCAAAAAGAGAACATGAAAATTTTTTAAATTCCTTTTTTAAACCAGCACTTTTGCGAATTATGACTATTTTTTAGGAAAAACTAGCAGTAGTGGTCATTAGATTTCTGTTAATATATAGTGCAATTCATTTGCAAACAGTTGTTGAAAATTGGCTCATTGTTTAACGAATGAGAAAATGAAACCAAAATAATATTCTTCTAAAAATATGTATCTCAGTGACATCTTCAGATGTTGCATCATTTTTTCCTCATATTTTCGTGATCACATTATTAATTTGCATATTTGGGAGTTTCCACTGCTTAAGTTTATTTAAATCTATTTCCAACACAAACTTAATATGAACTTCTATTTATATAACTATGTACATGTTCTAGCATAATCGGAATAACCATAAAAACACTCATCAAAATCTTATATTCAACTCGATCTCATTACAATTTTTTGTTATTAGCAATTTCTTTCTCGGTTACTCAATTTTATTCTCTTATCTAAAGATTTAATAATAAGCATTTTTCATCTCATAAGATGTGTTGCTTTTTAAATAAAAACGTTAAAACTTTAATTGCAACAACAAAACAATCCTTCCGGTGATTGTCAGTTTATGTGAAAAAGAGAAAAAATGTCTGATTTTCAATTGTATGTGAAAAGCAAAAATGCAAAAAACTGATTCCTCGTTTCCTTTTTTTATTAAAATGTTAAAAATTGTTTCCTATAAACTTTTCTATGATTATAAACATAATCACTGCATGTTGGTTCAATTTGTGTGGAACATGCATGACTAGTTGTTATTACTGTGGAAACAGTTTCTAATTTTCTTAACTATAGACTCCAAGTGATGAAGAAAATTAAAACTCTTGTATAATTTAGTAAAGAAGTCTATAGTTTCTCTGCCTCATAGATTAGTCCAATGATTTTAGTAGTTGAGGAATCGTAACTAAGTAATGAATTTTGGTTTGAAATTTTGCCAAGATTCTTTAAAATTTCTTTCTCAAACATCATTAAATGCTTACGATTCCTCAATGAATGAAAATACCTTTGCAAACGGCCTGTGGTAAGAAATTTGCATGCCAAATTTCAGGTAAGAAAATAAGAAACTGCTATTACAAGCTGTTTTATTGTACAAATAACAATCTGAACTATTTTTTAACAAACTAAAGAATTCTGCAAGATAAAATTACTTAATCTGTTTTTTGTCTATTCTGGACCCTGTAAAGAAATAATGAGTTTATTTCTCTATTTTTTAAAATATAGCTTTTATCATTGCCCAAGTCGGATTCTGTGAGTAGTTAGTAAACTGAGAAGATATCTACACACCATATATAGTGAGTTTCTTAGATAATACCAATAGGAAAAGAATGCGAGATATTTGAATTGGCAAAACAGTAAACAGAATTTAGAATGATTATAGTTGTTGTGAAGAACAAAAAACTACATCAGGTATTATATGGTCATGAGAAGCCATTTCATTTAGGAAATCGTGCAAATAAGAACGTGAAGATCAGAGTCGATACTTGTATGAGTAAGATAAGAAGCAAAACGAGTAATCCTTATAGAAGCTGGTATCATTAGTCAGCACAGATTGATTGCATTCGAAACCGAGAAGAGACTGGTGTATGACATATTCGTTAATAAGCTAGGAGCAGAGGTGAAATGCAGGGCCAAAATAATTCCGTATGTGATGACCTGGGATAGAATTGTAACAAACTTCCAGGGATGTTACGTGAAAAAGATTAATATATCTGAGTACTTCGAGGCGTATATTAAATCGAAAGTGCTCAAGAAAACGCTCGAAAGCATCTCATTTGATCAACGACATGGATTACACGAGAATGAAGGAACGATGACCAGCACAGCAGAAATGAGCGTTGTGTGAGTGCAACGATAGTACCAGAATCTAGAAACAGGATTCTGAAATAATCAAAACTTTTCTGGGCTCATTTGTAAATAGAATGCATAGAAAAAAATCAGTTTAAACAAAGTTGATAATTCATGTTAAGAATAAAGAAAAGAAAGTTTGTGCTTCAGGAGATAAAAATTACAACGAAAGTATTTTGCTTATGATTGTCGCAATTTTCTTGTTTTAATTAATGATTAAGAAATATTGTTTCACTATGGAATATATTATTGCTTTTTACAGTGCACTTGAAATTATGTTTAGTTTCAGAAATTGATTGTTTTAAAAATTTCAAATAATGACTATGATTAATTGCACTGATGATTATGATTTTTACGAAAGTACAGAAAAATTCCTTCTAGGTGAGTGTTTTGAGGAATTAGCAACTTATCTCTAATTTTGTCAAGACTATTAACTAAAGTGAAAACAGTATTAGATTACTCAAAAATATAATTAAAATATGCTTGTAAAAATTTGCCAGGAAAAGATTTGTGCGGCAAAATATACATCTCAATGAATTGAAGTATTTATTCCGAATTTGAATTGGACAGTTCAATTCCCTCTTTAATGCTAGTATTTTATAGTTCAAAATCGAAATTATGCGTTATAGAAATTTGGTTATCATTTTTAAATGCATTGTCACGTATTTTGGCCTTGCCATTCATCATAATTGGTTTGATCGCGAATGCAGTGTCTGTTCGCATTTTTTCTCATCGACAAATGCGTTATGAGCCACTTAATTGGAATTTATTGCTGTTAGCAATTTCTGATTGTGTACTACTTATTGGAGCATTTTTTGTATTAACTTTACCACGATTAGGATAAGTTTTACATCAATGGCAAGCAACTGCATTTAGGTCAGAGGTCATTTTCAACTTCATTTCATTTCCAAACAAAAAAATTGCAGTTGAGAATAACTGTGCTCTTTTTGTTTTATCAAATTCTTTTTCAATTTCTTTCAGTTATTACAGTACACCTTATATGTACGCATCTATGACATTAGCTCAAACCCTTAGTGTATGGATGACCACAGTAATGTCAGTACATCGGTTTGTTGGAGTTTGTTTGCCGTTTAAAGCTCAGTCTATCCTGACTAGACGTAATACTATATTTTGTATCACTGCTATTATTGTTGTTCCGATCCTTTTTAATTCAACACGTTTTTTTGAGGTTTTTCACTTTTCAGATGATACCTGTATGGAATACTAAACAGAGTTTCTTGAATCTTCATTTTAAAATTTGAAAATTTCTCTTTTTCTTGCATTAAAAAGTTTGAATTTTCAAATCATTCTCTTTTTTTTGTTCCAAAACTCTAAAAACATTGATTAAAAAATGGATTACATTGAGAAAAATCAAATGATCACTACTTAATAATTTTCATTGTCAAGCAAAATGCTTGCAGAATCAAAGCTAACAATTTTTGCTTCTAGCTTATCAATATTTACTGAAACAAAAAATTATTCTACACTGAAACCGAATATAAATTTTATGGATGATTTACTGTTTCAATAGCTGATGGTTAATTTTAGGTGCACATTGAAAGTGCTTGCTATGTATCGCAAATTGATACAGAATTACCTGTATTAGCTGCAACACAATTACGAATTAATGCAATTTATCGCAAAATATTTTATGAATGGGCTTATACAGTTATCATATTTGCTATACCTTTTACGATCTTTATTACTGTTAATACAGCAGTTATTTTCGTTGTTCACAGGTATTATTTTTTATGAATAAATGCTGTATTTTAAAGAATGAAGAAGGTATTATTATTTCGTTAACTTGAGAAGCTACAAAATTTCACCGACTGCTTATTTCGTGAACATAAGCATATTGTATAAGATTTAGCAGAAAATACCTCAATCGCTCACTTTAAATGAAAACATTTGCTTGAAAGTAACAACTGCAAAAGCTCATATAACAATAGCAAAAGGTTTCCCTAAGTGTTTTAATATCGCACTTTAGACAAGCAAGAAATCTTAATAATTCTTATGCTGATCATGACCAAGGATTTTGATAATATATGTGTATATTGCATATTCGGAGACAAAATAAATAATTGATGAAAATTAAAAAATAGACGAAAAATCAATTGGAAAGATAAAAATATCTGTCTAAATCATCAGTTAATCTGATTATGCATTAAAAAAATAATCTCATTTTCAAAATGATTCTGGTACAGACGCAGAAAGTAATTTGTGAAAGAAATTTAATTAATGTCTTCACTTTTTTTTCTTAAATTTACCACTTAATCATGAATTCGAGAAACAGCGTAAACTTCGAAAAGTAGAGAAACAAGAACAGGCACGAAAATTTTGCTATAGAATACTGTTCTTTTGTTTTATTTTAAATGCTTTTAAGTGAATTATCTGAAATGTGACAAAAGGTTGTAGGTCTCGTAAAATACACGCGAAGTTAAATATGTACGATAATAACTTGAGAAAGCAGGAATTAGCCAAGAAAATTTCAACATCATTTATGCTTGTAGCTGTTGTATTAGCTTTTTTATTTTTTAACATATTGGTGAGTTCCATATCTTACTGTACTCGGTATTCACTAAAAACGAATCTAGCAAATTTTCCAAGCAAATAGATTGTAGTAACTATTCAGCGAGTTATAAAATACATCTGTAAACAATACTACTTTGAGAACTTGAATTCTTTAAAGCACATTTTTTCAGGCATTTGTAGTAAACATCTTGGAGAAAGTAGGTTTACACGAGCTCTATAGTAAAACTGTCCCATGGTCCAACACTCGAAAACGGGAGATGATGATAATTCGCACAATCCATATCTGGAAGAATTTCTTCCAGACTCTGAAGTGCATACTTTCTCATTTGAAGCCATATTCGGAAAGATAGTTTCTCATTTGCCCAACTGGAAGGCGGCGGGTCCTGATGGAATCTATAACTTCTTCACTAAGAAGTGCACCTCCTTACATCCAGATCCGTATAAAATAACTAGGCAGATCTGCTTAGATGGGGAGGAACAGGACCCATGGTTCTACAAAGGCACGACGTATCTGATTCCTAAAGATGTACCAAACAAAACTAGCGACTTCAGGCCGATAACTTGCATGTCAAACCTTTACAAATTGACAACGAGATGTGTGGTACGAGTCATCACAACTATATATTGTCGCGAGAAAACTGTTGAACCTGGAGGCATGCAGAGAGCATGGAAATCAGTTATTTACCACGTGATATGTATTTTTTCTCTATTATGATTTTCCATTGCTTTTCAATGTAACCGATCATCTGGAGATGATGCTTCTCAGAAACCTGAAAAGCTTTCGATTCAATTAGTCACAGCCGCCAGATTAAATGTACTCAAAGGCTCAACATGCGAGCGTACATCGGCAGATTTCTGGGAAGCATAATCTCCAGATGGTCGGTTACATTGAAAAGCAATGCAAAATCATAATAGAGAAAAAATACAGCGGGAATCCTTCAAGGTGACATCCTTTCTCTGCTGTTGTTGGTTTTAAGCATGGACCTGTTGAACCATAGGCTACCTCAAACTCCTTGCTTCCAACAAGGATATGGCCGAAGAAGTTCCGAAGTTCTTTGAAATAGTAGGGTTAAAGGTGAATCCAACGAAGTCAGCCACTAATATTGAGGTATGCGCTGATAAGGCGGTACTCTTGGAAGGAATCCAAGGGTATCAATACCTTGGCATAATGGAGGACAAGACACTAGCACTCCGACTCGAGAAAGCTACTATAAAGTGCGAGCAGAAATTTTGGCAAGAATTGAACGACTACACTTAAATAGGACTAATATACTATTATACTGGGGTGTTGAAACTGGAACCACAAGACTTCCGAGCAATTGACAATGATATCAGATAGTTACTAATTAAATACGGAATTCACATCCAACTTGCATGTTTGGAGAGACTGTATCTACCAAGAGACGAGCTGGGACGTGGGCTTCATTGTGTTGAATAAAGAAGTGAGCTTTTGCTTCTGTAACTTCATAACATACTTGTAGAAAGTGTGCTCATATCTACCAGGAGGGCAGCAATTTTGAAGCAGGAGAAGACTCACAACACGTACTTAGTAGTTATTTTGCCTCCCTACAGACTAAATACAACTTCTTAGAAAATCCAACCGTCGAAAACGTATTAGTAGCCCAGAAAGCACTCCTGTATAGCGAAATAGAAAAGATAACTCGGCTTGCAAAGCTATACGAAATGCGCAGAAATGAGCTAACCTCGATGTCAAATTCATCAACGTGGCTACGATTTGGAAATATTAGCCAACAGGATGAAGCGCGATACTGTCACCTCCAAGACAGAAATATATTTGGAGCTGAGAAAAGTATGTGCACACATTGTAGGGAACGTATGAAGACGGTGGACCATCTAGCAAAGCAGTGCAAGAAAATGTTATATCGTAACTGTACTAGAGGACACAATGAAGACCTGCGATGTATTCATTTAGGATTTTGCAAAAAGTATGGCCTGAAAGCATTTCCACGCATGCCGAGCCACTCCGTGAAGGAAATCATCGCTAACGAGAACGTTGGAATCAGAATTTACACGCAAGTAAGAACAGATATAAGGATAAGTGTGGATTGACCGGACATCCTGATACATGCAACATGGAGTAATTCTGATAGAGGTTAGCATTTACTGGTCAGGATAGATTGATAGCAGTCGAGACCAAGAAGAAGCGAAAGTATCTTGAGATGGGATAGTGACGAACCTCCACAATCGCTATTCTCCTGATTCTGTGGTCGAGTGCTTTCTCATGCCCTTCACGGAGCTGTTTTTCTCCTACAACTTACCTTTTCTTTTTCCTACAACTTTTCTTCTGGTTTTCCTTCATGATTCCTAACTCGGCTTTTTTTCCCGTTTAGCTCCCATCTTCTGCTTTGTGGAACAATTCAACCAGACGTCAACATTAAGAGATCAACAGTATGCAACTAGATGTTATATTCGACGATGTACTAATGCATAAAATATACTAAGAATTTGCCAGTTTATATCTAACAGTAAGTTATTTGTAATAAAGAAGGATAGTGAAAAATGATGTGCACTATTAATGACACATTGTAAAACTCATATACGTAGATGAGTAAAATTTTTGAGAGATCTTGGAGAGAGAAAACTGGGTAGCAAGGTCGATTGCTGTTTACAATTTATACTATATGTAATTTCTTGAGAGGCTTAAAAATCAATTAACTTTTGTGTGAACAAGTCCTTTCGTGTCCTTAATACTGAACATGGTATGTTGGCAATGAATACCAAAGAAACCGGGATGACATAAACAAAAAAAGCGATCTTGTTGTCCAAAGCAAATTCCATGCCCCGAACAGTGGATCAAAGATTCGCAAGGGAGATCTGCAATTCGATACATAAAACTCACTTTTGATAAAATAAAAAGAAAAAATGATCAAATCTAGTGTTTTCTACCATGATATTTAAGGTAGATCAACTGCTATGATAGTTATGGCAAATTTTTATTTAGGGAAACCAGATCTACGATATTTAAGGCAAATTTTCTATATTTATGCGGTCAAGAGATAGTTAAAAACCATAAATTATGATTTCATATACTGCAGACTGCATTACTTTCAACAGAATCACACCAAAGAAACAAATCTCTAATTAAAATTGAAGTTATCAGAGACAGAGTTTGAGGATTACATATTATTACTCTAAACCACTATTCACCTATTTCACAACGTGATCCACTATAACCGAAATTACAAGCACAAAATACAGCATCTCGAGTACCCAAGCAAGTTCCACGATTATTACAGTCTTCATAACTGCATTCATCTTCAAGACTCACTGAAATAAACACAAATAATGTTTTGAATTTACAGTAATGTAAATTTGAAAAACTCATCTCACATCTATAGTTTAGTTTAGCTGCAAATAGATCCATAAAATCCGGAATGATATATTCATATTCACACTGCCGGCCATAGTATGGTATGGAACACGAGCAAACAAAATACTTTTTACTACCACTGCAAATACCATGATTATGACAGTCTTGCATGTCACACATCATTACGTTTCCTGCAAAAACCCATTTGTTATGTGAGTTATGTAAAATCATAATTTCATACTTATCAGGAATTTTTATTTATTCCGTGAAAAGCTTTAGTTTTAATCTGTCGTGTTAAAATTTTATCTATTTTGGTTGCAGACAAACGAAGTTTAATAATATAAATAACAATAGCAATATATGTAAACATATAAAATACGAATAAAAAAGCTAATATATAAAGAAAAAATAAGGAAGGAAAGAATAAACTAGTATTTATTATTTCCTGAATACTATTTTTTTTTCCTTCCTTGAAACATCAAGATCGCATATCTTCATTGCATTCTAAATCCCCTTTTCAAGTTAGAAACGAAATTATTCAAAAATCTACCTTCATCACCTTTCATACTGAAAATAAGCTTCGCACACGCAAATTTGCATAGCACTATAATGATTGGTTTGAATGCATGCTTCATCTGAATCTGTAACTTAATCGAGAGCTATAATTAACTGATTTTCTCATTACTGACCACATACTATTTTCCATCGCCAAAAATACAGTTCAGTCGTCTAATGAAAATGCTTAATTATATAACTAAGCATCCAACTTAAAAGCACATATACTATATCTAATTGCACTGCATTCAACTTAACAGCACTCATCTTCAAAAACCCATTAATTGAGGATAAAAAGAAAAAAAAAA